GTCCTGGATGTATATATAAACAAAAAAGAAGGAATTTCCATGAGCATGAAGAGCGTAGAAGTCATCCATAACTAACATCAGGACAGATATGAGTAACGCTTGAAAAAGCAAGGTCAACGTGGTCTGTGTAATGCATAGCAAGGAAAGGAGTAACAATTTGAATTACTAAACATTGTCCAAGAAAGGGATCCGAAATTTCAGAGTTTGAGATATTGGCGGGGAAAGCAACAATGGCTCCATTTAGAATTTTATACAATGGATGGGATTTACGGATTGGTATTGTCATTTATAATGATGATGACGTGAAGGACCAAAAAAAGTGTTAGTAATCCTTACTACTATTATTATTAGAGTTAATAGTAAGTAGAGAACAATAAATGAAGTACGATTTATTGTAGTATAATTGTAAACAGAAAATAAAAGTTGGGTAGATGAAACTTAGTATTTTGATAATGACATCAGCTCGACCGACCCCCCCAAGCTGGAAGAGGCTATCTAGGGCGTGTGGGACTTCCCTTTCCATCCTAAACCGACGGAAAATAGTTCTGGTGGCTGAAGGGTCGACCACATACTAGGGTGGGATTTTTTTTTTTTTTTTTGTGTGTGTGTGTGTGTAACCGAAAAACAGAAGTTCATATCCAATGCAAACCCGATTACTCTAAAGACCGAGACTATATACATGTGTGTGTATGAGTTTGTGATATATAATACACACTCACCTCTACACACACGCACACACACACACACACACACACACACACACACACACACACACACACACATATACATACATACATACACACATATATATATACATATATCACACACACACACATATTTTGTGTGTAAACATATATATGTATTTATATGCGTGCGTGGGTATTTGTTTGTGTATGTGTATAAAAAATATATATATATTTATATATATATATATATATATATATATATATATATATATATATATATATATATATATATATATATATATATATATATATGTTTGTGTGTGTGTTGTGCGCGCGCGCGCGTGTGTGCGTGTCTGCGTAACCTTCCAGTGGGTCTTTGTAGCGTTATCCACTGCGAATTCCCCTCAGATTCATTGTACGAAGTCGATCCCAGTATAAGGATAAGGGGAAAATAAGTTTATTAATAGTTGCTCCTTAACAAAGATATTTGTCCTCAGAGTAGGACATAACCTAAGAAAGCTGTCGCTATTACTAATATCAAAATAACTCCTACAGACCAGGTATGTAGCTATAAGAAATATCCGAGGTAACTCTTCTCTGATGCTTTAAGAAAAAAAATAATACTTCAATTCCGATTTACAAGACCGGCGTTTTACTTGAGTCTTAAAAGTAATGTTGATTCTTAATTTTCCTTATATTGTCCCCGTGGTAATAGTTATCTGTGGTTCATGGGCATTTGCTCCTAAGCGTAAACATTTGCCAAATACTTGATCAAGTTTGGAATATATCATTTTAAGAATCTTTTGAATTACAAGACTTCATCTTGTCTGCTTGTGAAGGGGCTTTAGGGCTGGCTCTTTCGGCGTCAGTGGTGCGGACACATATTGATACCCTTTGTTAATTCATGGAGGGCGGCTCAAAGCTCCTTATTTATTCTCTTTTATTTTGATAATGTATTGCCGACACGAATTTAGTAATTATAAGCAGGGTGATGCTTTAATTTCGAGTCACTAGAATATTTTTAAATTTTATTGAGATTTTGAATTACTGCTCTTTTATTATCTTCTAGACAAAATTTTCTTATTTTTTTAATGATAACATTTTAAGATAATGATTACTTATTATTCTATGTTAGATCCGAGAGTTCTTTCATTCCTACTTCAACCCTTATCTTGGGTGAGGTTATCAGCCTGGACGTTTACAGGCCAGGGTTTATATATTATTTTACACTTTATTGCTTCTTTGCCTTTGTTGCTATCTTTAATTAGACTATATAAGTGGAAGATTAACTTGATTAGTTGAAAATATGAAGAACAGATTTATTTATTGTGTTTGATGTGTAGTAACAGTCTTTGCTTTATTGTAAAATTGCCTATATTTTTACCTCACATATGACTACCAAAAGCACATGTAGAGGCACCCATTGCGGGATCAACAATGCAAGCCGGTGATATATTCAAAACTATGGGGACATGGCTTGATTGCAGTATTACCTTTGTTCGGACAAGCCAATAAAAATTTAGCTTGACTGCGAGTGAGAATTAGATTAGTAGGAGTAGTAGTAGTGGGATTAATGTGTTTACGGCGAGTTGATATAAAAGCTTTAACTGCTTATTCTTCCGTGGCCAAATAGGATTAGTGTCATCTGGATTGGTAGTATTTGGTTGATTAGGAGTGAAGGGTAGTAATGATTGGGCACGGATTGTGTTCTCCGGTTTGTTTTCTTTGGCTAACATGGTTCACGAATGAGTAGGAGGATGAATATTATGAATCGTAAAGAGACAGATAAATTTCATACCTCGAGTAGCTTTATGGTAGTTCCTTTAGAGTGCGGATACTATAGCAGCACCTACTTTAAATCTTTTAGGTGAAATGAGCTGAATGATTAGAGTAGTATCTTGGAGAAAAGTAAGAATATCATATATTTCATCATTGTCTTTTTAGAGCCGATAATACTTAACATATATTTTCTTTAAGGGAACATGGGGAATATTACATAGCTTTGTTTTCGTGTTCTGGTACGGTGCAGGAGTATTTCCTCTTACTATTACTCTTACTGCCTCTAAATATTCTGATTTTAAAAGAACTATTATGTATAACATAAAAGTATAAATAGCTTAAATTAAACGTCGGTTTGCAGCACCGGAGTTTTAGTATTACTCATTTTAAACCTTTATGAATACTATCAATATATCAAGAATATTATTTTTACTCGGAGGTTCTTTAATTTGCCTAGTTTTTTATGATGTTTAAGAAGAGGTCAAGCTTGATTTATTGAATGAGAATTACTAAGATTAAACTCTAAATCTATTATAATAACATTTACCTTGCCTTGAAATATCTTTCATATTTTGGGGGTTTGTAATATCAATATCTTCTTTAGTATTATATTTCAGAGGGGAATGAATATACGGGATAGAATTATAAATCGGCTTATGTATTTAGTGTTAACTTTTGTAATAACTATAGTGTTTATAATTATTATCCCTAATTTGATTAGTATTCTTTTTGGCTGAGATGGTTTAGGATTAGTATCCTGCGGCCTGGTTATCTATTATCAAAATGAAAAATCAGATAATCCTGGGATGTTAACAGCTGTCTCAAATTGGGGAGATTATGTAGCTATCTTGTTTGCAATCTTTTAACTTTTAAGTTGTGGAGAATCC